TGATGACTTAAATGGAGTTTCTTGCATCCAACTTGTAAGATAAGTCTCATAATAGTTTGATGACCTAAATGGAGTTTCTTTCAGCCAACTTGTAAGATAAGTCTCATAATAGTTTGATGACCTAAATGGAGTTTCTTTCTTGCATCCAACTTGTAAGATAAGTCTCATAATAGTTTGATGACCTAAATGGAGTTTCTTTCAGCCAACTTGTAAGATAAGTCTCATAATATAGTTTTGATGACTTAAATGGAGTTTGAACAACATGTAACTTTACCACATGTGCCAGTCTATTGACTAAGTTGTTTAACTATTTCAGTGGGTTTACTACAAAGATCTACCGGGTGGTGAACAACATGGAACTAATCCTTTTAAATCTTTTACTTTTGGCAATATGTATAAAAAACAATCTTCTACATTCACTCTTCTCCTGCTTCTGAACTTGTTTTAAGAATTACTGAGACACAGTTTTCCCATATTATTTCATTATGTTTCTTGGTATAAATATATACACAAAATTATGTACGTTTAACAAGCAACAAAGTTTCAATGTAGTGGCTAACACACTAGAATCTTGGTTGTCTTTATTATGAGACTTATGTTACAATACTTTTATGTCACACAAGTTAGGTGAAAAAAATAAAGTGGTGAACAACATGTAACTTTACCACATGTGCCAGTCTATTGACTAAGTTGTTTAACTATTTCAATGGGTTTACTACAAAGATCTACCGGGTGGTGTAGGTCTTTGTAGTAAACCCATTGAAATAGTTAAACAACTTAGTCAATAGACTGGCACATGTGGTAAAGTTACATGTTGTTCACCACTTTGTAGGTCTTTATTGTAAACTCATTAGAATGGCTGAATAGTCTGGTCATAGAATGACACGTGGTAAAGTTGCATGTTGTTCACCACATGGCTGATCCTTATTGTAAACCTATTAGAATGGTTGGATGGTCTGGTCAGAAGAGTGATACATGATAAAATGTAGTTGAAATGAACTCTGTGGTTAATTTGTAAAAATATGCTTGTCATCTTCTCCAGGGGTATCTAAATGTTTACCAAAGGTAGGACAGCCGTATTTGTTGTATAATTCTTAAAACTAGGTGTCACAGTAGTTTCGGGACTCAAGATAAAACAAAATATAAGGCTTAGTTTACTTTATAAATTTGAGGTCAGAACTTATTAAGAAATTTAATTATTTCTTGTAATAAGTCTTCTTGAATAGGTAGTAGGTAGAAGACATCATTAAAATTAGGTCAGCGAGGTAGTGAGAGCACAACTGTGGCACACTGAAAAATTAATAATAATTTTAAAAAGACAAAAAGAACTATAGGTGACACCTATTAATCTTTCTCCAAGTAACTGTAGTAATGCTTGATCAAAATTTGAAGGAAATGTATCTTGTAATTTTATGAATAAATGTAGCAGTGATGACTAAAGTTTTTGTAAATAAAACAAGAAAGAAATAAGTGTCTAAATAATTAAGAAAATACTTAATAAGATATTACTGGTATTTAAAAAATATATACACATTTTGTGCATTTCACCCCATAAAATGTAGAAAAAGGAAGCAGTCGTAATGCCATAGATTGTGTTACTTTGTGTTGAAAATGGCCATTTTGAAAACCTTTATTATCAAGGTTTTGAAAAACATACCTAGGCCACTTTCCATGTTATTTAACTTTCAAAGAAAGCTTGTTTTGGTGCTTGTTTAATATTCTTTAAATTCCTTGTATTTACCTTTTTGTGGACATGTCTGCGTAATGTTCTGTTTTTTACCTGAAAGTATTTAAAATTTGATAATTTGAACAGTTTAAAACAGATTTGAGAACATTTTTTACAGTTGTAAATGTAGCGTAGTTTAAATTAAATGTACTAAATTATTCCAAAGTTACTTGCTATTCCACATTATTTTCTTTGTTTCTATTTCAGAAAGAATTTGGGATCTGACAGTGTCTTATGGCAGTCTTATCTAATCCTTAGTCAGAATATTCTGACATTCTTGTTGGTGTTTTATTTTGGTAAGAGATCTTTACTTTTCTTACACTGAGCATCACAAAAAAAAACCTGTTTCTTATGTCAGAACAGATTTACTATCATTTATGAGGATATTTTTAAAGTTTCTTTATTTTACTTTTGATAAGTGTGCTGTAGCTATTCCCAAATATGAATTGTGTGGTTAGTTATATTTGACAGGTTTCTTGGATCCCAGTTTATTTCAACAGCTTTCTAACAAACTAAAGGTTCACGTATTATTGTAAAAGCAATTTTTACACCATTGTGAAACATTTTAAAAATTAATTATTACAATATCAAAGTATATATCTAAACTTTCTATTTTATCTCTGCCCTAGCTGGTAAAAAGTTTACTGACAAGTTTATCAAAGTGTCTTTTTTTTCTTAAATTAAAAATACATTTCAAGTACCACATTTTAATATATTAACAATAATTTTACTTAAGTAACCCTGTTAACACCAAAAAGAAAACAGAAAATGCACTCCAAACTTTGGGTCCCTGGTTGTATTATAAGAGTAATGGTCATTTCTGCTATTTGATTGATGTAGACCAAGAATTTATGGTGAGTGGTATTGACTGGTTGCTTTCGCTCTAATCCATCATTTGAAAATTAGGAACGGCAGTCTCAGATAGCTCTTGAGTAGCTTTGTGCAAAAATTCAACAACTAAACAGTTACTTAGCTGATTTAATGATAGATTTGTTTTCTGTTTTTAGTTGTGATCTCCATTGGCTTTGTCCACCGTTCTCACCTTCTTCATGAACGAAACCCTTTTTTAAACAAGTGTTGGATATCAGTTTCAATCCTAGTGTAAGTTGAAGTTTGTTTATATGAAACACTATTGCTTTAGGGTGACAGATTTTGGAGAAGCATCTCAATAACACTTAAAATGGTTGTAAACGATAGTGAAGCATTCCATTAACACTTCAAATGTTTATAAATATGGTGATGAAGCATCTCATTAACACTTCATACGTTTATAAATATGGTGATTAAGCATCTGAATAACACTTAAAATGTTTGTAAACAATAGTAAGGAAGCATCCAATTAACACTTAAAATATTTTTAAAAACAGTAGTGAAGTGTCCCATTAACACTTAAAACGTTTATAAACATAGTGGTGAAGCATCTCATTAACACTTCAAATGTTTGTAAACACAGTGGTAAAGTATTCCATTAACACTTCAAATACTAATAAATGCAGTAGTGAAGTATTCCATTAACACTTAAAATGTTAATAAACATAGTGGTAAAGTATTCCATTAACACTTCAAATACTAATAAACACAGTGGTAAAGTATTCCATTAACACTTCAAATACTAATAAATGCAGTAGTAAAGTATTCCATTAACACTTAAAATGTTAATAAACATAGTGGTAAAGTATTCCATTAACACTTCAAATACTAATAAACACAGTAGTGAAGTATTCCAATAACACTTCAATTGTTTGTAAACACCTCAATACACTTTAAAATGTTTGTAAGCATATTACACTTCACATCTGGCCAAGGACAGATTTACCTTAAATAAACAAATATTGTAGGATTTCAACTACAACTACTACTAATATCATTTTTTGTCCAGTTGTATCTGAATATTCAAAGATATAACAAGACAATAAATAATGTTAAAAATATTTGTTAGCATATCATCCAAAAATAGTGCTTATGTTTAAGACTGAACAGTCTAATAGAGTTTCTTGTATCTGTATTTTCTTTCAGACTTTTACTACAATTTATATTTTGTATCCTTAACGTGGCACTGAATACTCATGAAGATGTAAAGCCCCAACAGGTGGCACTACTTGTTCCTTCATATGGCTGGATTGTTGGGTTGGTTTGGCCATTAGTTTTATTACCAGTGAATGAAATAGTTAAAAGACATGAAATCAAGTAAGTTAATAAATATTTATTTTAACTCATTGGAGGGTGCACTAGCATTCCCTTAAGTAGGAATGGCACAGATGGCCGTATTAAAGCAATATAAAAATTATCTGGATTTTCTTCTCTACAGATAATCAGGAGCAAGACGTAGTTGTTCTATCTTTGGTGTATATGTCACTTTTCAGATCAGAGCATCCAAAAATTGAAAACTAGCAAATAGCCAAAACTGAGATTTCCTATTTTCATTCATCATCATCTTTCTTCAACAGGCCTAGCACCTACCTAGTTCTAGCAGTAAATATAATTTTATCATCATTTGACAGAGTAAAACAGTCTTTACAATCTTTGACTACCTATTCTATTATTATTCTATGCAAAATGTAAGAAAACGAAAAAAATTATAATTTTAGTGTAAACGATGTTAGCTTTCTTACAGAAATATGATGTTCCTTTTAAAAGCTTAAATACAGGGTGAAACAGGAATTACTAGCCAATAATAGATGAATATTAGATGACTGTAACATGTATAATACTCAATACTTTGTACACTATACAGTTGGTGTCTTTAGAGAGCCAACTTCTATATCATGTATGAAGTGAAAGTGCAAAAAAAAAATAAAATCAATACAATTACAGGTAATCAGAAGCTAGATATGAAAAGCTAGCTGGCATAGTCACTTTATCTCTGGTATATATGCTGCTTTTCAGCTATCTAGACCAGTGTTTCTCAATCTTTTCCAATATCATTCACCCTTACAAGTTTTTCACAACAGCTTGCTCACCCCAGTTCGAAAATAGACAAAAGTACCAGATTAAAATGTAAAATTTTTTATTATGACTTAAATATACATCAAGCTACAACTAGAATAAATAATAATAATAACCAATAAATTTTTTGCTCATGAATTTGTTGTATAATTGATAATTCTCATTGACCCTGATTCTGGTCTCATTAAACCCTTGTTGAACCATTCACCCAGTTGAGAAGCACTGGTTTAGAGCTTCCTAATATCGATAACCAGCAAATAGCCAAAACAGATTTCATATTTTCATTATCATCTTTCTTCAACAGGTCTAGTGCCTACCTAGTTTTAACAGTAACTATAATTTTATCATCATTTGATAGAGCAAAACAGTCTTCACGATCTTTGACTACCTATTTTATTATTTTTCTATGCAAAATTTATAAAGCTTTAGAATACAGTCTATAACCTAATAACCCATGTATGTTTTCTTATAAGAAAAATGAACAAACAAGCATCAGGACAGAAATTTATTGCTAAATAAAAAGCTATGTAGGACTAGCTACTGAATTAAAATATAAAAAAAGAACCAAACAAGAAAGGGATGGAGGTGGACATATCATTTGATCTAGCTAATGATTGCATAGCAGACTAAGTCGTCTGAACTGTATATGGAGAATAAAATCCCTACATTACTGGCTTTCTCACTGGCAAAACAAACAAAACCAGAATTTCCAGTCTTAAAATGTTACACTATTGTAAAATAGTCATAAAAAATAGTATTCCAAAGTTAACTAAAAGAAAGGTGTAACGATGAAAGCTGAGATTCTATTCAAACACCAAGCTTTCGATAGACAAAGTTGGGAAGCCAGGAATGTAGGGATTTTATTCTCCATGTAAAGTCAAGGTGGCATAGTCTGCTATGTGATCATTAGCTGATCAAGTGATATGTCCACTTCCATCCCCTATATTGTTTGGTTCCTTTTTTAAATTTTATTAGCCAGCTCTGCATAGTTTTTTTTTTTATTTAGCAATAAATTTGTGTTCTAATACTTATAATTAGTATAAGCTGATTTTTAAAAATAATCTTTAATAATTTTTTTTAGGGAGGGGCTTGTCTTTTAATCTTGCAGCTTGTCAAGTAGTATGTCCTTAATATTATGTTAATTGTTATTGTAAACTTTGCAGTGTACATTAAAACAGTCAACTGAATTTGTATCATTATTCTTTTCCATTTATCTTTACAAAACTATTCCTTTATTAAAGAAAATCTTCTGATATTGATATGTTGTTGTTGTTTTTTACAAACAGAAATTTAAATTTGTACTGTTACCACCTTGATTGTAATCATTAACTGAGAACATTTGTTGTGCTTGTCATCATTTGAGTCTGTATTAGGTAGAAATGTATTTTTACAACTGAAATAACATATTTTAGGGTGAATGTTAGACAGCAAAAACGAGCTAGGTTGGAATTTGGGACCAAATTAGGCATGAACTCTCCCTTCTGAAGAAAAAAACAACAACCAAAGATGATCAAGAATATGTGTACAGTATGTGTGTGTATAATGAAATAGTAATCAGTGTAATTTTTTTTACTGTAAGCATTGCAGTAAAATAGAAGAAATAAATAGTGATAAACATTTTGTTGATTGATCCTTGTTGATTATATTTGCTTTTGAAATGTCCTGAACTTGACTAAAGTAGTTGGTGATATTCATTCATAAATTACAACTGTGGAAGTACACTGACTTGTTTCTGACAAATGACTAACATTTTTGAAGGCTGACCAACTTGTTCATCATGGAAATATTGTTTTCCTATTCTTGATTGACGTGTTCATGTCCTGTTTCTGTAATTTTAGTGCTGTTGATGGAAATTTGTAGGGATTGGTTAGTGTGTTCTTGTTTTAAATAAACATATCTTGAACTTGTCAAACATGATCACGATGGTAAGTGTTGTTTTTCACTTTTAAACGGTCATTTCTGGAGGTTGTCTTACCTGTTCATTAGGATAAGTATAGTTCATTTATTTTAAAGGGTCATTTCTGGAAGTGGTTTAACCTGTTCTAATTTCCTCCTTTTTTTGCCAACAGTTTAATTGACCTGTTTATAATAAAGTTCTTAGAAATTGACTGGCTTGTTAATAATTAAGGTCTATAGAAGTTGGTTATTTTTCTGTTAACTAACAGCTCAATTACCTTTATTAATATGTCTCAATGGTTGAAATCTCTGAGTATTAACTGGCTTTTACTTATAAAGTTCTATAGAAATTGGTTATCTTTCTGTTAACAAATATCTCAACTTCTGTCACCACAACTGAATTCTTTTAAGATTTACAATCTGTTAAAAGGTCTCTAAAAATTCACTATTTGTGGTCTGAAGTAACTGAAATCTGTTTCTGAAAGAAGTGACTGTATAACTTTATCATCCTGTTAGTGACCATCATCTGTGCAGATTATCCAGTTCATAAAACTCTCTTAGTTAATAAACAAAATAAATAAATTAAGTTAACCATCCTGTGCATTGATCATATTGTTCAGAAATAATCTGTTTTGTTCTTGATTAATGTCTGTTGAATAAAGAAAAGGAGGTGTCTAAGTACTTGGATTGAAGTTTGTGGAATAAGAATAATTCATGAAGATTAGGGAAGTGTGTTCAGGAGAAAAAGAAATTATACATGTGTATTTTTTTTTTTCAGTTTAAAACATTGGACATTTTTTTTTCTGTAAATTAATGTTGAGGAAAATTTACCTTTGCGTTAATCAGAAGTTAGTTATTAACTTGCTTTTATTTCAAAGTTGTTTTAATATAAATAATTATAGTGAACATTTAACATCATTTAATACCAGTCACATAAATATTATTTTAGTCAACTTTTTAAAATTTCTTTCCTTCCCATTTTATTTGCTTGAAAGTTTATTTTTATTTAGATTTATTTGCATAATGAATTTAATACAAAAAAAAATTTTTTTAATTGATTATTGTGTAAAACTCATGCTTAGTTTTCAATGTAAGCAAGAAACATCACAAGTATGTCTTGTATGACACACACCTTGAATAACTAGACATGAAATAGTCAAAAAATTTTGTCATGGGAAATATAAGTTACATATTAGATTTAACTTACAGCACCATATACATCTTAAGTATCATTAGTATATATGATTTGTCACTTGGCTGTAAAACTGGGCAATTAACTCAGTTAATCAATACAGTCTGTTATCTATGAGTATCGAGTACATTGAATAGTGCCCCACAGTGGTATGTCTGCGGACTTACAATGCTAGAATCCGGGTTTCGATACC